GTACAGAGACTCTCAAAGCATTTTACACACAACACATAACTACTTAGAACTACTTATAGTATGGAGCTGCTGAATGCTTGATTCAGATTGGCTGATGAGCACTCTGAGGTTTGCTGTTATTTTCAGATAAATGCACAGTTAAAGTAGTTCCGGCAGGTTTTGCGCGCATTACAGCTCCATATCACTTTGCTGAATGATTTCACATTTCAATTTATTTTACAGCTAGTATGGTTTAGCACATTGCTAGTGTGTTATTAGCATGTTTTAGCACATCATCTGTGTGAGTTAGCATGTTTTAGCAAATTGCCAGTGTGTTATTAGCAGGTATTGGCACATCATCTGTGCGATTTAGCATGTTTTAGCACATTGCCAGTGTGTTATTAGCATGTTTTGACACATCATATGTGTGTGATTTAGTATGTTTTGGCACATCATCTGAGTGATTTAGCATGTTTTAGCACATTGTCAATGTGTTTTTATCATGTTTTGGCACATCATCTGTGTGATTTAGCATGTTTTAGCACATCATCTGTGTGATTTTGCATGTTTTAGCACATCATCTGTGTGATTTAGCATGTTTTAGCACATCATCTGTGTGATTTAGCATGTTTTAGCACATCATCTGTGTGATTTTGCATGTTTTAGCACATTGCTAGTGTGATTTAGCATGTTGTAGTACATCATCTGTGTGATTTTGCATGTTTTAGCACATTGCCAATGTGATTTAGCATGTTTTAGTACATCATCTGTGTGATTTTGCATGTTTTAGCACATTGCTAGTGTGATTTAGCATGTTGTAGTACATCATCTGTGTGATTTTGCATGTTTTAGCGCATTGCCAATGTGATTTAGCATGTTTTAGTACATCATCTGTGTGATTTTGCATGTTTTAACACATTGCTAGTGTGATTTGGCATGTTTTAGTACATTGCCAGTGTGTTATTAACATGTTTTTGCAAATCATCTGTGTGATTTGGCATGTTTTATCACATTGACAGTGTGCTATTAGCATGTTTTGGCACATCATCTGTGTGATTTAGCATGTTTTAGCACATTGCCAGTGTAATTTAGCATGTTTTAGAGCATTTCTGGTGTGTTTAGCACATTGGTAACAGGTTCTTCTATGTTGCTAATGTTTTTAACACATTTTATCACATTGCCACAGTGATTTAGTATGCTTTAGTACATTGGCAGCATGTTCTTACATGTTGCTAATGTTGTTACCATGTTTTAACACATAACTGATGTGTTTTAGTACATTGCTGGTGTCTTTTCGCATGTTATAGCATACTGTTGGTGTTTTAGCACATTGCCAGTGTGACTTAACATGTTTTAGCTCAATGCTGGTGTTTTATTAGCATGTTTTAACACACCATCTTAATAATTTAGCATGTTTTAGTACATTGCTGGTGTCTTTTAGCATTTTTAGCGTATTGTTTCTGTGTTATTAGCATGTTTAGCATGTTGCCAGTGTTGTTTAGCATGTTCTAGCACACCACCTTTATAATTTAGCATGTTTTAGTATATTGCTTGTGTGTTTTAGAGTGTTTAGTACATTGCTGGTGTCTTTTAGCATGTTTTAGCATATTGTGTCTGTGTTTTAGCATGTTTTAGCACATTGGTAACATGTTCTTGCATGTTGCTGGTGTTGTTAGCATGCTTAGCTCATTGCTGGTGTGTTTTAGCTAATTTCTGGTAAGTTATTAGCATGTTTTAGAATATTGGTAACATGTTCTTGCATGTTGCTGGTGTTGTTAGCATGTTTGGCACATTGTCTGTGTGTTTTAGCATGTTTTAGCTTATTGCTTGTGTGTTATTAGCATGTTTAACATGTTTCCAGTGTTGTTTAACATGTTTGACACATTGTCTGTGTGTTTTAGCATGTTTTAGCTTATTGCTGGTGTGTTATTAGCATGTTTAGCATTTTGCCATTGTTATTTAGCATGTTTTAGCACATTGGTAACATGTTCTTGCATGCTGCTGGTGTTGCTAGCATGCTTAGCTCATTGCTGGTGTGTTTTAGCTAATTTCTGGTGAGTTATTAACCTGTTTTAGAATATTGGTAACATGTTCTTGCATGTTGCTGGTGTTGTTAGCATGTTTGGCACATTGCTAATATGTTTTAACATGTTAAGCACATTAACAGTGTGTTTTGGCAGGTTTTAGCTCATTGCTTGTGTGTTATTAGCAAGTTTTAGCATATTGGTAAAACTTGTTGCTAGCATTATGTTGCTAACAATGTTTTAGCAGATGTTAAAAGCATATTTAAGCACACTGCTAAAATGTTGAGGCCCATTTAATTCACAAAAAAGCACAAAAAACCTTGATCTGATCTTGATCTTTGTTAGTATTATTTTATAGTGTTTATTATTAATAATTAAATATAACAATATTAATATGATTGATAGAATATTGATATATTTAATTAGCTTTTTTTTTCTTTTTTTAAGTAGGTGTTACTACTTCAGCCTATCAAGGCTTATCAAGGAACGCTTTTTAAAGTTGAAGTTTAATTAATTACATTTAATTCGGCCTTCATTACAATTGACAGATTCACTCCGTAATAGATTTAGTTGGCTTTCAAATACATATTGCTATTTGCTAATAAACTTACCTTGTATATATTCAGTGAGTAAAATATAGTCCATAAACAAGTGCTTGACATATCCTGCCATTTACATTATAGTAATTTACTCTACAGCGCCATCTACTGGACACCTTTGAGATTTACATGTATGAAACCAAAGCCATACTTTGGTGGTTTACGGTGTGAAGGACGCTGTAACAGTGATGAGTAAATGTAAAACACCCTTGATAAACTGTTTAACATGCTATAAATGAAATATACTGTTCAAACTAAAGCAGTATATGGTGTAATAGGCACAATAGTAACACAATATGCCTAATATACCATGAGTATGTCATCATTTCCCTATTGTATCCAGAGTGTAAATTATTGCACAAAAAACCAATGAAAAATGTACAAAGTGCAGTCAAATGTGCGTGAAAACAACACTCCCTCTTTCAGGTTTCACTTCCTCGTGACCAAACTTCAGCTTCAGTCAGCATGAAAAACAGAAGCAGGAACAGTAAACATGACCTCTTATAGAGACACAAGTGAACTTACACTTTCAACTTCAGCAGATTATCCGATGTCTGTGTGCACAGGTGAGTCAGTTGTTTTTTAATATTACCAGTGTGTTGTGCTGTAATATTAACGCTTTTCTTGAAGTTGTTCTCTTGTTTCTTAAATCAAGACTTGTTTTCTAGTAAAAAAAATATATAGTTTTGTTTTCAGAAATATGTCAAAATTGGGGTGACGTTCTTCATAAAATCAGCCAACACATGGGAAAGCAATCTTGTTTTCCGTCTGAAATATGAATAGTTTATTCACCCCACTGGCTGAATGTTTTAATCATTTTTACTTCTTATTTCAATTCAAGTTTAAACTACTTGACAAAAGTCTTGTCGCCTTTTTTAAGTTTTAGGATAAAAAAAATAATAGCTTGACTTCTAGTTGATCATTTGGTATCAGAAGTGGCTTAAATGAAAGGCAAAGCCCTCTAGATGACGCTTATTTTACCACAATAAAATATGATCATGCCTTGATTTTGAATGATTTCATTAGGATAGTAGGGTCTGACTTTGCTTAAACAAAAGTCTTGAACAGAAATAATGTCCAGTATAGAATATAAAGTCCTGCTGCAGTGGAGACAGAATGAATATTGTGTCTGACTCCATCATGAGCTTGGAGGACTGCATCCATACATCTCTGACTCAAATTAATAAAGTCATCTGGAACGGCAAAGAAAGCATTCCTGCAGGACCCCCAGAGTTCATCAAGATTATTTGGAAGCATCTTCAATGCCTCCTCCTTCATGTTACCCCAGACAAGCTCAATAATGTTCATCTCTGGTGACTAAGCTGGCCAATCCAAGACCACCTTGACCTTCTTTGCGTTCAGGAGCTTTGATGTGGAGGCTGAAGTATGAGAAGTAGCGCCATATTTTCACGCACAAACATCTCTAAAGTTTACAGAGAATAGTCTGAAATAGAGGAAATATCCAGTGAGCGGCAGTTCTGTGGGTGCAAATGCCTTGTTGATGCCAGAGGTCAGAGGAGAATGGCCAGACTGGTTCCAGCTGATATAAAGGCAACAGTAACTCAAATAAGCACTCGTTACAACTGAGCTCTGCAGAAGAGCATCTCTGAACACACAACACGTCCAACCTTGAGGCAGATGGGCTACAGCAGCAGAAGAGCACACCGGGCGCCGCTCCTGTCAGCTAAGAACAGGAAACTGAGGCTACAATTCACACAGACTCACCAAAACTGGACAATAGAAGATTGGAGAAACGTTGCTGCTCTGATGAGTCTCCATTTCTGCTGACACATTCGGATGCTCGGCTCACAATTTGGCCTCAACAGCATGAAAGCATGGATCCATCCTGCCTTGTATCAGTGGTTCAGGCTGGTGGTGGTGGTGTAATGGTGTGGGGGAGATTTTCTTTGGGTCCATTAGTACCAATTGAGCATCAACGCCACAGCCTACCTGAGTATTGCTGCTGACCATGTCCATCCCTTTATGAGCACAGTGTCTCCATCTTCTGATGGCTACTTCCAGCAGGATAACGCACCATGTCATAAAGCTCAATCATCTCAGACTGGTTTCTTGAACATGACGATGAGTTCACTGTACTCAAATGGCCTGCACAGTCACCAGATCTCAATCCAATAGAGCAGCTTTGGGATGTGGTGGAACGGGAGGTTGGCATCATGGATGTGCAGCCGACAAATCTGCAGCAACTGCGTGATGCTATCATGTCAATATGGAGATAATCTCTGAGGAATATTTCCAGCAGCTTGTTTAATCTATGACACAAAGGATTAAGGCAGTTCTGAAGGCAAAAAGGTCCAACCCGGTACAAGTAAGATGTACCTAATAAAGTGGCCAGTGAGTGTATATGCTTTACATGTTTGTTTTCAGAAAAATAAGTTTTTCTAGTCTATTAAATACTTCTTCATTTAAGAATTTGTAGATATTTACTAGAAACAAGTAAAACAAGCATTTCTGGTTGCAGTGAGTGATGCTAGATTGCCAGTGGTTGTATTTTCTGTCATCTGCACAGCATTGCCACATTTTCTTTAAACCATTTCCTTTAGAGATCTAATTTTGCCCAACTTCCTGAGGAAGTGCAGCACTTTACCTTTCACCGCATGGAACTAATGTAATGTGTAAGTTTAACTTTTATTGCATCAGAAAGTACTGAATGAATTATTATTATTATTGTGTTGTTGAGCGGACTAACATTTTTCTTGAGGAAATGCTTAAAAGGGTCCTATTTTTACAAGATGTAAAACAAGTTTCTGATGTCTCTAGTGTGTGTGTGTGTGTGTGTGTGTGTGTGTGTGTGAGGTTTCAGCTCAAAATACCACACTAATAATGGTGATAACTCTCAGAAACTGACCCTTTTAGGCTTTGATCCCAAGTGTGTTTTGGTGACTGTCACTTTAAATGCAAATGAGATTGTGCTCTTTTCAGAAGAGGGCGGAGCTATAAATGCCTGTGTGTCAGCATAGTGGCAGATTCAAATACAAGACTAAGTCATATTCTTATAAGGGAGAGATGGTCACTAGTGGGCGGGGCTTTCCTCCTCTGATGACACGTACAAAGGGAGCATGTCAATCAAAGTGTTTCTGCAGACTGCTTTCATCAAGTGCGATTATAATAATTACAATTAATACATTTTTTATCATTGTAAGCTGCTTATATTCACACACAACTGTGTTTAAAGTGATTTTTTTCAATATGGGCACATAATATTTCTTATTTTTGCATATTAGATTTCCTTACAGAGAGCTAAAATTATCAGATCTTCATGGAGGAAGAGGAAAAACCACCCAACATCACTGCTAATCACACGGTTTCATCAGCTCCTGAGCATTTATCACCCCACCAGGAAACGTTACAGGGTAATGGAGAGTGTAAGTTGATTCTGTATGATCATGAGATCAGATTGTGACGTGATGTCCTCTGGGTGTGTGTTTAACGCATCAGACCTGTGTTGATGTGTGTGTACCCACCGGCAGCTGCAGAGGATGATCTGTGTTTTGGCGCCTCCTGTCTGACCACGGCAGAACTGCAGCAGCACTGGAGAGCCGTCAAGCAGGAGTTCAGGAGCGTTAAACTGCTGTTCGACATCCCCAGCGCCAGAATCATCTCACAAACCATCTCCAAACATGTGGTATGTTGAAGCTAACACTGAAAAAAAACAATAAATGTGAAAACATGCTCTACTTGAATATTTTTACCAAATTGTAATCTTCCCTCAAGTTATTTTCATTGCTGGACAGTGAAACTGAAACCTGGTTTTACACTGCAAAACATGCTTTTCTTGCTAAGATTTTGTCTTGTTTCTAGTCTAAATATCTAAAATTTCCAAAATCAAGAGGAATTGTCTGGACAAGCAAAACATATCGTCTTGCTTTGAGAAAAAATATGCCAATATTAAGTGGGTTTTTCCTTAAAACAAGCTAAATAATCTGCCAATGCGGTCAGCAAATTAATCTTGTTTTCTCTTTTGACGTAAGATTATTTTGCTTGTTTTAAGGAAAAACTCACTTAATATTGGCATATTATTTCTCAAAACAAGACAATATGTTTTGCTTGTCTAGAAAACTCTTCTTGATTTAGGAATTTTTAGATATTTAGACTAGAAACAAGACAAAAAATCTAAGCAAGAAAAGCATTTTTTGCAGTGTACAAGTCCTGCACAGTGGCCAGAGGGCTGTTGCGCTATTCTTCTTGCAGAATAGTGGTCAAGTCAGTACGTGTTTCTGGTGGAGGGGAGCCTTTCCTGACTCACTCCTCAAAAACACATCAAATTGCTCAATAACATTTAGATCTGATGACTGTGCAGGCCACGAGAGATGTTCAACTTCACTTTCATTTTCATCAAACCCCTCTGTAAGCACTCCTGCTTTGTGTATTGCTGCATTCTCATCCTGATACACGGCACCACCTACAGGATATAATGTTTGATGCATTGGTGCACATGGTCCTCCAGAAGTCAAGTTTATTCATAAACTAATTGAGAGGATCTTGTGCTTATTATTGATCACAGCTGGTCCTGCATTAGCCAATTCATAAGTCACCAATCAGACCATTCCTAAGTGACCATAAATAACCTAATGTCAATACAACAGCCATCTTCGTTTTGAAGAATCCCCCCTCCACCCCTACTCCTCCTTTCCTAAATGGCCGGCACAGCAGCCCAGTGGTTAGCACTGTTGCCTCACAGCAAGAATGTCACTGGTTCTAGTCCTAACCAAGCCAGTTGATGTTTCTGTGCGGAGTTTGCATGCTCTCCCTGTGCTTGCTCGGGTTCCCCCTGGGTTTCCTTCCACCACCAAAAAACTTACGACTTGAGTTAATTGCCAAATCCAAATCAGCAACATAGACATGCGAATGTCAGGTTGTTTAAACGGTAGGCTACAAATAATAAATTCGTTATTAATTTATGAATTATTCATAATCGAAAATCGAATCGTGACTTTAGAACCGAAAATGTAATCGAATCGAGGATTTGGAGGATCGTGACACCCTTATTCACATTGTCCACAGCCCAAGATTCTCGCTGCTGGCACCACTGAAACTGGCGTTTGGCATTGGCACAAGTGACCACAGGTTTAGCTACAGCCGCTGGCTATGTATGCTGACTCTGTGGAGCTCCAGACCAACAGTTTTGGTGGAAACAGGAGAGTTGAGCTGCACATTTAGTTCTGCAGGGTTGGGCAGCTGTGCTCTGCTGTTTTTTGTTTTTCTACATTTCAGTCTGAGCAAAAATTCATCGTCCTTTTTTCCAAATGTGTCCTGCAGGTGTACCAGGTTGTGGTTATTCGCTCGGGTAGTTACGACTGTGAGCGCGTGGCTATCGAGCGCCGCTATTCAGACTTCCTCCACCTCCATCAGGAGCTCCTGTCCGACTTCAGCGAGGAACTTGAGGACGTTGTGTTTCCCAAAAAGAAGATGACCCGAAACTTCTCTGAGGAGATCATCGCTGAGCGTCGCGTAGCTCTGAGAGACTATCTGACCCAGCTCTACTCCCTCCGCTTTGTCAGGAAATCCCAAGCGTTTCAATCCTTCTTCACTCATCAGGAACTGAAATCTGCATATGATCTCCTGAGGGGGGGACGCTTCTCCCGGGCCCTCGAGGGCCTCCAGAAGGTGTTGGTGCTTCAGGAGAAACTCTCCTCTCATGATGCTACGTTAGTGATTCCGACATTGTGCGCCATATTGGTTTGCCAAAGGGATCTAGAGGACTTCGAGGCTGCCTTCGAAACTGGCAGAAAAGCTTTGCCCACAGTGAGGAGATATGAGCTGCGAAAGCATCACGGGCCCCTGCTGGAGGCTCTGGTTGATTTGGGGTTCAGTCTGGAGCTGCCGGTGGCTCAGCTACAGGACGAGCTGATCAGAGTTAATGACTCTCCATGTGGGAAAGAGACACAGATGTCTCTTAAAGAACTGGTGGTGCAAGAGTTTGTATGATTTTTTTTGTGTGACTAAAATGATTATGAGGCGAGTTTCACTGCATTTATTTAATTATTTTGTTGTCAAAATGTACACAAATCTAAATTCTTTAATAACTTACCTCGAGAACCATTGATTTCTTGAATTTATGTAAAGGAAACACTGAAAGAAACACCAAGAAACTTGACTTTACCTTCAATCATTGACTTTTCGGCTTAGTCCCTTTATTAATCAGGGGTCACCACAGCTGAATGAACCGCCAACTTATCAAGCATATGTTTTACGCAGTGGATACCCTTCCAGCTGCAACCCAACACTGGAAAACATTCATACACACTCTTCACACTCATACGCTACAGCCAATTTAGCATACCCAATTCCCCAATTCCTGCATGTTTGGAGTGTGGGGTAAACCGGAGCACCCACAGGAAACACACGCCAACACGGATAGAACATGCAAACTCCACACAGAAACGCCAACTGACCAAGCCGGGACTCGACCCAACGACCTTCTTGCTGTGAGGCTACCCAATCATCATATACTGAGATTCAAATGAACCTTGAAATATTGTTTGATTGTACTCAACTGAGTGTTAGCTAAAACGTTAAATAAAAGTGTTAATTATGACGCTTGAATATACAGTATACACCATATAATTACCACATTTGTATTTCAAGCTAATTAAATTGCACTGCAAAGTGTTTTAAAGCACACAGTTGAATTTAAAAACGTGAAATAAATATAAAACAGTGCTTTAGTTCAGCTAAAGTAATACAAATGTGCTTAAAGGGGCCTTAAAATATATAATATTATAATATATATTAAATTAATTTAGAACAAACATATATTAACCCAATATTTGACTATAATGTGGTGAAAATAACTGTTAGTTACGCTATTGCACGACAATAAATATGAATAAAACAACTTAATGCTATAACTAATGTCTGTATTTACAAAAATCCTCAGTAAGAAAATAAATAGCAACTTTTAAGTCGTTTACAGTTGTTATTTGCCAGTAATGAACTGTAACAAGCGCAGTTTGTACACAGCAAAGTAAAAACTCACCTCAGTAATGACTCCTTTCAGTGATTGAAGACGAACTGGCGTGTTTAATTAGATAAATTTAACCATACAGGAAAGGGTTAATGCGCCACTTCAGACGAAAGCAATAAATTGTCGATACATTCGACAAAATTGTATATAGCAAATCAAATTAAAGTAAACTATACCATATAATACAGACTAACATTAACTTAAACGCTTTATTATGCGATTATACTTCAAACATAAGTAATAAATCTGAAATTATTGTCAGTGGATGTGTGTTGTGCGACTCGTCGAGTCTTGCACATGTTGCTAGAGCGCATGCGCAGAGTTCATGCGGACTGCTATTTATTTTAGCAGCTCGTGCTACGCACAGTAATGCGGCCTGTGTGGAAGACATAACTGTCAGAAAAGCTCGCTTTATCTCTCTTCATTCACTTAAAAACGTGTAGTTTAGTTCTGATTTGAAATGGCGAACGATGGTGGAGCGAAGCTGTCTAAAAACCTCCTGCGGATGAAGGTAAATAAATAATGTTAGCCGACTATCCCAGTGTCGGAGGAATATGATGAGCTCGTGATTGGGATCGTACTAAAATGTCCTCGTGTTTGAGGTCGGTTTTGTTTTGATATGAACTGAATGCTGTAGATCACTCGCTGCAGAACACGTGACTGATAGACAACAGTCTGTCTCTGTGTGTGTCTGTTCATCTGTGTCTCTGTCCATTATTTTATCCGCCATATTGTATATCCCATTCGTTCTGTCCATTTTTTTCATCCCTCTGTCTTTATACTTGTCTGTCTTTTCATGTTTGTTTACCTCGTCCTTTGGTCTTTCAATAAATCTCTATTTCCATCTATCTGTCTCTCTTTCTGTCCATCTTTTCTTCCATCTGTCTTGTCATTTGGTCTGTTCTTGTCTTTCTGTCTGCCTGTCATATTTATCTACCTCCATGTGTCATTTTATGTCAATGTCTTTCTTCTGTTTATCTGTCTGTCTATCTTTGAATCTGTTTTTCATCTGTCTGATTATCTGTTTTTGTCTGCGTCCATCTGCTTGTCATTTGGTGTCTGCATCTTTTTCTGTTTGTCTGTCCATCTTCTCATCTGTCCGTCTGTAGTTCATGCAGAGAGGATTGGATGCGGAGGTGAAGAAGCAGCTGGATGAGGAGGAGAAGCGGATCATCAGTGATGAACACTGGTTTCTGGATCTGCCCGAGCTCAAGGCCAAAGAGTGAGACTTCAACTGTTTTTTTACTCTTATCACTGTGCTTGTACACCCAATGAATGAAATAGTGTATGACAACAAATATCTGTGGAAACCCATTTCTGGTGCATAAAAAAGCCTCAATCAAAAACATCAAACCAATACCTAATTATACTAATACTCAATTAAAGGGGCAGTTCACACTGAAATTAAAATTGTCATCATTTACTGCACTTTGATTTATTCCAAATCAAAACAATTTATATTTCTTTCAGCACAAAATAAGATATTTAAAATAAAGCTGAAAACCTGTAACCAGGAAAAACAAATACTATGAAAGTCAATAGTTACCAGTTTGCAACACGCTTTAAAACATTTTCTTTAGTGCAGTTAAAAATTATTTAATCCCAAAGGTTTAGAATATTGACCAAAAGCAAACAAATAAATAAAATTCAGACATTTCCAATATGTTTTTCTAGATCAATGGACCCAAAACCTCTAGTAGGTGGCGACAAATACCTGACTGATTCAATAGTGTTTCTTCCCATACTGACAAACTTCCGGTGAACAGTTAATGTGACTTATTTCTAAGGGTGTCACGATCCTAAAGGCACGATTCAATTTTCGATTATGAATAATTAATTAATTAATGACCAATTAATTATTTGTAGCCTACCGTTTAAACTACCTGACCTGCATGGTCTTTGTTTTACCCATAACCAAATCATACAGTAAATGAATAAAGGCAAGATACACACATAATTACCACCTGTCAATCACTTTTTCTGCGGGACTCGTGAATAGGCAGTGATCTGTGTCGTTATAATGGCGTCGTAAAAAAGACGCACAACCAACAGGAACCAGCCAACAGTATCTGAGGTGTTCGCTAAAATGACTAAGTACAAGTGAGTGAAAGATTGAAGCAGTCCTCTGACTGCCTGGACCTGCTGTCTCGAGCGCATGGCTGTGTGTGCGTCTGTGTCTGTGTGGTCACGTGATGTGCGTTTTCAGAGGTAGAGAGGAAGGAGGGCTGCTCAGAAATGCCACACGCCACTGTGGATGTCAAATCGTTGTCGTTCTAAAATGCCATTTAAAAATAAAGACAGTGTAAACAGGGCCTGAGTGTGAACTTTTCGCGAGCGGATTTGCAACGGGGGCGGGCGGAGGATCGCGATGCCGGTGTTGTCTATCAGAAGAACCGTACGTAATACGTACATAGCAGAGCTTGCAAAACTGTGTTTTTTTTTCTTGCGAACATTCGTTGCCTTATGAACATCTGATGGTTTATCAAAATGTCTCTTAAATTGACAAAATGACAAGGAATGTTTAACTTTGCCAGAAACCACATCATCGAGGAGAGGAGTTTCGTTCCCTGTGAGGATCTGGTTTACGGCAGAATGTCATTCAAAGGCTTCAATCCTGACGTGGAGGTACAGCTTTCATCCGTTTACAGACGTTTTGTTAATTGTTCTCAATTGGAGCATAATCTGAAGAAGGCACAATATGTATGATTTTATTTGTATTAACATATTCAAAAGCCACTAGAACAGTTTATTATATCTTTATTTTTCTGACTTAAAACACAGCTCCCATGATTCCACACTCAGTCATCAAAACACACCTTTTGTTTGTTGTGAATACACGCCCTCTAGTGGCGAAATTTACATACTGTGCCTTTAAGAATTAACTGAAAATGCATGTCTTGCTCTAATTATAGCCACTGATAGCCACCTGTAATCTAAAGTGGGGTTTATTCATCACAAGTCTGAATCTGTTGCAGAAATTAATGTTACTAATGAACGCACCAAGAGAGGAAGAGGATGAAGAAGAGGAGGACGAGAGCATGAACAAAATGGAAACTGATATTACGGATGAAGAGATGGCCAAAAGGTGAGCAAGGACAAATACATCTGTAATCTACAAATCTGTTATATATATATATATATATATATATATATATATATATATATATATGAGGATAGTGATGAAATGAAGCGTCCAAACAATTTTACCAATCACTTCGCTAAAGCAATTCGAAACCGCACATGCTAGAAACCCCTGCTGGTCAAAACTCAAACAAAACATGCATTAGAATTAACTCCCAAACATATTACGAACTTCTTTAAATTGAAAGTTTAACCTATAAATAAACTTGGCTCGTCATCTAAGATCATTAAATGTTAAGTCTGCATAATGTGCTTTCATTTAGATGTTTTCGAGGCTTATATATTGCTTGTTAAACTGCTAAACAGGCCAGGAGGAGACTGTTAGCTATTTTTAACCATTATTCCTTTTCATTTTATACACATCTCCTTAAAATATTTAACAAAATTCGTAAAACTAATCCGAGATCAATCCGTGAAACCTGTTCAGTGATTGGCCACTGGGGGGCGACCTGAATGAATCTGCGTGATTCTTGTAGATTTTATATTGCACAGATCGCCCCCTTGTGGGAAAGCAATTTCGAAACCATATTGACCATAACGAAGCTCAATTTGAATGAAATCCTGTGACCTTGCCAATTGGAAATGCGCACCGAAACCACTGGTTCGAAACAAAATTGTAATGGTTTCGAATGCGGACATCACCAGCAGAGGAAAACCTTGATTTTTGCTTTTGTTTTACAGGTATCAAAGTTTGGTTGAGAGCATGAGGAAAAAGTTCGCCAAGAAAAGAGATCGCAGTGCTGTCTCAAACAAAGAGGATGTCAACTGCAACGTCACTGATGATATTAGACCCAAACGAGCTTTCATGAAGCCACAGGACTGAGACATTTTAAATCTGTAAATGCTTTATTTTTTATGCAATGGACTTCTTTTTTTATTAGTAGTATTTTTTTCTGTTTGGTAACAACAAATGCATTGTTAAAAGACTGTCTTTTATGGGAAAAGCACAAGTGGATGGTGCACTAAGGGGTTTTTTGACAATTAAATGTACCATCGTTGAAAAGCGTAGTAGATCCTGACCAGAGTTTCTTAACCAATTCTTTAAAAAAAATGATGTGTAGAACTTCCATGTTGTTTTTAAATAATCATTAAGGGAGAATCACATTAATGACACTTAACCAATATGCTGTTTAGACGATATGCTGTAGAGTGAAATCTGCTCTCTCACAGAAACAATATATTCATGAGTCAAAGTCAGATTGATGAGATTGTGTTGGAAATGTTAAAAAAAGGTTATTCATGGTGTAAAAAAGACTGCAGAACTTACTATAGCATAATTCAACATTCAAACGGTTATTTAATATTGACATTGCACGACTATCTGGGGTCAAAATCCATTGCTGCTGTGTTCACATTGTATAATGGATCAGTGACAGGAAATTACGCACAGCATGACTTTACAACAGGGAAAAAAAAAACGCTGATAACTCTCTCTCCCCAATCACCCCAATGTCATACAGTGCATTCAGACAATATTGATAGCGCTTTTTCCACTTTTTATGTCACAGCCTTATGCAAAAATGGATTAAATCAATTTAATTCCTCAACATTCTACTCACAATCCCCCAGAATGACAATGTGAAAGAGTTTTTGAAATTGTTGCAAATTTATTAAAAATAAAAAAGCTGTAAAATCACGTGTACATCAGTATTCACAGCCTTTGGCTGAACCACGGCCATGTAAGCTGAGTGATCAGGGGAGAATGGCCTTAGTCAGGGAGGTGATCAATAACCCGATGGTCACTCTGTCTGAGCTCCAGTGTTCTTCTGTGGAGAGAGGAGAACCTTACAGAAGGACAACCATCTGTGCAGCAATCCACCAATCAGGCATCTGTATGGTAGAGTGGCCAGACGGAAGACACTCCCCACCTGGAGTTTGCCAATGTGAAGGACTCTCAGAGCATCAGAAACTAACCTCTCTGCTCTGAGACTAAAATTGAACCACATGCTGTGGGGATGTGTTTCAGCAGTAGGAACTGGAAGACTAGTCAGGATAGAGGGAAAGATGAATGCAGCAATGTACAGAGACATCCTGAATGAAGACCTGCACAAGAGTGCTCTTGACTGTGGTGACGGTTCATCTTCCAGCAGGATAGTGACCCAAAGCACACCGCCAAAATATCAATGGAGCGGCTTCACAACAACTCCGTGAATCTCCTTGAGTGGCCCAGCCAGAGCCCAGACCTAAATCCTATTGAACATCTCTGGAGAGATCTGAAAATGGCTGTACACCGGCACTTCCCATACAACCTGATAGAGCTTGAGAGATACTGCAAAGGGGAATGGAAAATTCCCAAAGACAGGTGTGCAGAGCTTGTGGCGTCATATTCAGAAAGACTTGAGGCTGTAATCGCTGCTAAATGGGCATCAACAAAGTATTGAGCAAAGGCTGTGAATACTGATGTACATCTGAATTTTCAGCTTTTTATTTTTAATAAATTTACAACAATTTCAAAAACTCACATTGTCATGATGGGGGATTGTGTGTAGAATGTTGAGGAAATCAATTTAATCTATTTTGGAATAAGGCTGTGATATAAACATGTGGAAAAAGTGAAGCGCTATCAATCCTCTCCGGATGCACTGTATATAAGTGGCTGTAGGTCCATAACTCCTCCCCAAATATCCCTCTACCCTAAATCTCGCTTGTTTCCTTTTTTTCAGTCAGAATTAATATAATGCAGTCGGCGCCGGTGGCCTAGTGGTACTGTGCGCTGACATATAGCACCAGTGTGCTCGTGGCGACCCGGGTTCGATTCCCGTCTCGGGGTCCTTTGCCGATCCTTTTCCTCTCTCTGCTCCCAGTGCTTTCTTGTCTGAATTCTCTACTGTCCTATCAAAAATAAAGGTGAAAAACCCCTAAAAAATAATTATATATAAAAAAAGAATGAATATAATGCAGCAGGAATCTCAGATTGTGCCTCTGATAATTCACACTGTGATCATTATAAGCTCTAATGTGCCTCAGATTTCAGCCGATTGTCTGCGATTTCACAGACGCCATCAGCGAATAAACAGCATTTCATACGTTTGCATTTCCAACCCCTCCTAAAAGATCCCCATCATGTACACGAATGTGCGAAACGCCTAAAAGCCGCCCGTTTAATGTGGAATCGCTGTGGCGAGTTCTGCAGGCTGGACGCCGCTCATAAACATCCCGGAGAAGATTTTATCGGACAGTGCCGTCGGACAGTATCTGTACAGTAAAGACAACACCCACGCTCCAGCCCCGGGGTAGTAGAAGTGTTTCGGGTTGGAGGACAGTATCGCGTGCTTTAAAGACTGCAGAAACGGCCCCTTGTCTTCACTTGATGCTGAAGACATATCCAGCAGCCGCTTCTGCATGGAGTGAATGTATTCTTCACCATACGAGTCCTTCACCTCCTCTGATAAACCACTGAGGATCTGCTCCTGAGCGCGCTCCCACTGCTCACTGCTGCCCAGGATATCTGCAAACGTCAGCCAGGTTGACTTTAGTGTAGTGGTTAATAAATTATGACTAGATAAATGGGTCATAACTCACCCCAAATCAATAGGTTAGTTACGGTTTTATACAGAAACGCTTACAGCTACAGTATAGTGAAGGTCATTCCTATAAAACAATGGTCTGCTACAGAATATAAATGAAATGGGTAACAGATTTGTTCACAATTGTTCATTTACCTCTACTGGAATTTGGTATGAATTTGTCCCTAAAGAGCTCATGCATTTTAAGAGACAGATGAAATCAATAGCCAATAGTATCTGGCTGCAGACCTGCACATGCGATCAATAGTGATAGTGACGTCACTCTGAGGGGTAGAGGTGGGGTTTGGTGTGTGCATTAACTTAACTGTTTAGGTTGTTTAATAGACGGCATTACAGCTCATTGGTGTGGACGCTAACATGGTTGATACTCACTGGTTCTGAAAGCTCCGGGCTGAACGATGATGACTCTGACACCCCAGCGGGACAGCTCTTGTCTGATCGCTCCGCTGTAAATATTCAACGCTGCTTTTGATGCGCCATAACCTGCAAACCCCACAAGAGGAACCTCTCCTGGAGGAAAACAAACCGTTACAATGCTGTTAGAGTAAATTGGGGGTTTTAGACACATCACATGGCATTAGTCTACATGTTTGGTGGATCTGTGTGTGTGTGAGTGTGTTTGTATGTTTATTGCAACTTATGGCTATTTCACGCAGAATTTAGATTGGTAAAAACATGTTACATAAAAATAATTCAGCGAGAGAAAAAAAAACTACGTATGAATCAAAAAATAATAATAATTAAATTAAAAAAATAGATGATTTTTCAGTTCAATATATGATAAACATCTTAAAACTCTTCCTGGAGACAAATTATTACCACACACTGAACGCACACACACAAACACACACACAACAAAACACCATCACAAACTCAACACAAACAAACACACTCAATCACACATACAAACTCCACACACACACTAAACACAACACACTCACAAACAGACAATGCATTAAACACACACAAACAAACACACACTTAACACAGACACAAAACACTAAGCGCACACAACACAAACACATTCAACACACACACAACATACAAACAGACCCAACATGAACACACACAAAACACTCACACAAACGCACACACACACACATCCATCCAGAAAGGCTAAACAGTGGTTACACATGGCTGGCACATCATTCTTGAATACATACAAACAAGTCAACTTGAACTGACCAACATAGACTGACCTGCCTAGACTGACCAACATAGACTGACCAGCCTAGACTGACCAATCCGGCATATAGTATAAACAGTTTGTTCAGGTCTTTTATACACTTTTTGGTTGATGTCCTGCAATTTATTACCCTATTTTGTGTTATTATTACCATGTTTTGTGTTATTATTACCATGTTTTGTTATTATTACCCTATTTTGTGTTATTATTACCATGTTTTTGTTATTATTACCCTATTTTGTGTTATTATTAGCATGTTTGTGTTATTTTTACCATGTTTTGTTATTATTACCCTGTTTTGTGTTATTATTACCATGTTTTGTGTTATTATTACCCTATTTTGTGTTATTATTACCATGTTTTGTTATTATTACCCTATTTTGTGTTATTATTACCATGTTTTTGTTATTATTACCCTATTTTGTGTTATTATTAGCATGTTTGTGTTATTATTACTATGTTTTGTTATTATTACCCTGTTTTGTGTTATTATCAACCTGTTTTGTGTTATTATAACCGTTTTGTGTTATTATTACCCTGTTTTGTATTATTATTATTACCCTTTTTTGTGTTATTATAACCATGTTTTGTGTTATTATTACAGTTTTGTATTATTATTACCCTGTTTTGTGTTATTATTACCCTTTTTTGTGTTATTATAACCATGTTTTGTGTTATTATTACAGTTTTGTATTATTATTACCCTGTTTTGTGTTATTATTACCGTTTTGTGTTATTATAACCATGTTTTGTGTTATTATTACAGTTTTGTATTATTATTACCCTGTTTTGTGTTATTATAACCATGTTTTGTGTTATTATTATAGTTTTGTGTTATTATAACCATGTTTTGTGTTATTATTAGTTTTGTGTTATTATAACTATGTTTTGTGTTATTATAACCATGTTTTGTGTTATTATAACCATGTTTTGTGTTATTATTACAGTTTTGTATTATTATTACCCTGTTTTGTGTTATTATAACCATGTTTTGTGTTAATATTACAGTTTTGTGTTATTATAACCATGTTTTCTGTTATTATAACCATGTTTTGTGTTAATATTACAGTTTTGTGTTATTATAACCATGTTTTCTGTTATTATAACCATGTTTTGTGTTAATATTACAGTTTTGTGTTATTATAACCATGTTTTGTGTTATTATAACCATGTTTTGTGTTATTATTATAGTTTTGTGTTATTATAACCATGTTTTGTGTTATTATTACAGTTTTGTGTTATTATTAACCTGTTTTGTGTTATTATAACCATGTTTTGTGTTATTATTAACCTGTTTTGTGTCATTCACGGGTCTGTTTTCTTCAAGGTGGGATGTAAATGATCAAGTATTACCTGCCATACTGGTGATGTTGATGACTCTTCCTCTGGAGTGTCGTATCAGAGGCAGAAATGTGTGTGTCATCATGACACTGCCGAGGAAATTCACATCCAAGCACGATTTATACATTTTCATTGGCAGAATTTCCCCATCGCACACGTATCCCAGCACTCCCGCATTGTTCACCAGAGCCCAGAGTCCTGCACGCAACAGACACATTAAACTAAACGACAACACTTGAGGGCCTCTAGAATACACCCGGCGCAATAACCAGCATCAGACCAGTGGTCCTAAACAAAACTCTAGCTAAGAAATAAAGCCAAGAGAGGATTCTGGTTTCTTTATTTGATTATGGTATTAACTAAAGGCATCCAGTACAACATCTACTCCAACCCCAACCCTCACAGTAATGTAAAAATATTAAATATTGTTATACAGTGTGATAAAAATGATGCTGTATTGATGCGAGTGTCAGCAGCAGTCTAGACTTTATCTCTTTAGAGTGACAGTTTCGTTGATGGCGATCTAACCCAAATCAACATTCCCCATCAGATGTCAACAACACACTCCACAGTTACCTGTTTTGCCAGTTTGGCTCTTGATGAACTGATGCGTTTGTGTGATCTGTGTGTTGTTGGTGATGTCTAACTGCAGGACGGTGAGGTTTACAGATGCAGACTCCTTCAGTTTCAGAGCTCCAGGACTGAGTTCATCCAGAACTCCTGCAAACACACGCATCCCCGCACGGTCCAAAACCTGAGCCAGTTCATGACCAAACCCAGAGTCACAACCTGCGCGACAAAACACACGCTAAAAACTTAAGATTCAACGCGTTTATTGTCTTTTTATGCACAGTAAGGAGCAGTTTCCCTGTTTGATGACATTCTTACTTTGCTGTCAACACTCAATGCCAATAATGAACAGTTGAAGTCAAAATTATTCGCTCGACTTTCCATTTCTTGCAATGCATGCAATTTTTTTTCGTAACATGGTAACAATTACAGCGAAAAGATGGCAACATCTAACTATGAGGCTAAAAGAAAACGTCAGTTTCTAAAGTCTTGGAAGCAGACAATTACATGGGTACAAAATTAAGAAACTGGAGAAGAAAAAAAAGAAAAAAAAAAAAGAGTTGTTGGTTTGGCAAGACATTTTTATAAAAATAATTTAGAATTGTAATAAAATACCAGCACATTTTTCATACTGCTCTTTCGTTTGCATAAAATCAAACTAAGTTTGCTCATTATACATTTATTAACATTTTTTAAATGTTTAAATTCTAGATTCATAGACATTATTTTGCCACATTATTTAAAATATGTGGCTAAGAACTAGCTATTAACCTTTTTTTTTTTTGGTGGGGCGAGTGAAAATTTTGGCAGGGCAAGTAAAAACCTCAACCACTGGCCCGATCGGCCCAGTAGAAAAAATCCTTAGCGTTGAACCCTGAAAACTATCATGATTAGAAATATTTTGAGAAAATCTTCTCTTCCATAAAAAGAAATTAGGAAAAAAAATGTACAGGAGAGCGAATAATTCAACTGCATATTATATAAAATATGTATTTAACAAAATAGGCATGTACAAAAGTAAACGCAAGTAAATGCCTTGCAAAATAGAATTTAGGACGTTTTCTCTACATTGATTTATCAACGTTTAATACTTTTTAAGACACCCTGAACATTAAGGAATTGTGTGGAACCCAGTATTTTTACAGTATATAGACACAAAAAAATATGTTTGCTGATAAACTACATATTTACAATGAGCTGTTACACAATTCTTGATTATTTTTAGGGAAAACTTATGCTCAATCCACTTAAAATTTGTAAAAATTATTAAGTTAACGTAATTCCTTCACAAATCGATTGCGTGGAATGCAGCTTACTTTTTTTTTTATTTACAGTGAATGATGGGCTAAAAACCATCTGTGTATTTCAGTGCTTCTGGGCCTACTTCTGGGTAATTGTGTTTATCTGTTGTGGTTTTTAGGCATTGAAAGAATCCACTTAATCATGCGGCGAAGTCATGTTCGTTTATTATCTTAACCTGGACGGAAACCAATCAGTGTAAAGTGACGTCGCTGGAATGCTGCAGTGATTTACGGTCCTGTAAAACAAGGGCACTAAAGTTTAAAGCTCATCAGGACGGCAGGCAAACATTATGTATAACACTTCAAGATGTTTTACAAAAAAACATTTAGAGCTTTATGCATAGTTGCGCCATTTGTGTTAATGTAATGTAAAAGTCACTCATTATTATATTATAGCTACATATAAACTGTTAAAATTACATGGTTGCCTTAAAAATGTTGAATCAAATTTGCCTAATAAGTCATTTTAACTTAAATGACATTAAACTGACCTAAAACAGCATGTGTAACTTTATAAATATCTCATAGAAACTTGGTTTAATAAGTTATGATTAACATATATGATGTATTGATCATCATCATGTACTTTACTACGGTAAATCATTGCTTTAATAGTTTTATTATCAGCCTAAAGACTTTACATCCAATAATACCATGATATATTCATGATTATATTTTAATAAAATTGAACCTAAACACGTCCAAAAGTTAAAAAATAAATAAATAAAATCAATATTTATAAAAATTAGATTCGTTTATAACTGTATGTATATTTGTTAAGAAAAAATACTCAATTTTAACAAAACTAAAACCTTTTAGTTCTAAATCAGTCTAATTTGTTTTGATTGGTGGTGGAGTAAAACATTTTTGTCAGGTTACCAATAGTTTACTGCACTAAAAGATGGTTTTAAAATTAATATTTGCCTTAAATAATGTCATGTTCAACCTAAATGACATTAAACTGACTTAAAACAACGTGTATAACTTAAACTAGTTGAAACTTGGTACTTAGTTTAATAAGTTATGATTAACATATGCTGTATTGATCATCATAATGCACTGTATTACAGTAAAACATTGCTTTAATAGATTTATTATAAGCCTAAATGACATTACATCAAACAAAACCATCATATATTCATGTTGATTTTAATAAAACACATCCAAAAGTAACATATATGAGAATTAGATTGATCCGTTTATGACTTAGTTGACATTTTTGAAGGAAAAAAGGCTCAATTTTAATAGAACAAAATAATGAAATGAAAGTAGGTGTTTATTTATTAATTAGCTTTGATTGGTGGTGAAATAAAACTGTTACTGTTTAAATAATTTACTGTACTAAAATATGGTTTAAAAATACTAGCCGCCTACGTGTCATTTTAGCTTAAATTACATTAAACTGAATTAACCCAATTTCAGCATAATTTTTAAGTTGTACACACCGTTTTTTACTTAGTTTAATTAGTCGTGACAACATATCTACGTTAAGCAGCGTGTATAACTTTAAAAAAATAGGTTGAAACCTGATTAAGTCAGTTTAATGTCATTAAATAAACTAAAAATTCTGTAAGTGGGGTAAAAAGTATCTTGTTTATACCCTAGTGGCTTGTTTTGCTTAATTTTAAAAGAAAATCCCTTAATTTTAACTTGTAAATACAAAATAGGTGGACTTGTCTAGACAAGTGAACTAATACCTTAACATATATCTAGTCAACCGTGCTGCCATCATGACAAAGATAAAAGAAATCAGTTATTAGAATGTATAAAAACTATTGTTTAGTAATGTGTTAGAATGAATAATTCATATTGTATATGAATTGAGAATTAAATGATGTGATCATCTTACCTGTGATGAGTACAGCCTTGTTTGCAGCAGTCATCATGACATCTCGCTCTACATAGTGGACCACACTACAAAGCACACTCATGAGTCCTATTTTTAGTGCACTTGAATGCACCAAACAGTTTAAAATCCCTCCAGAAACCAGCAGAAGCACAAACCACCTCACTGACCGTCCTTGAGCGACCCGCAGAAGCAGAAACCCAACACAGACGACCATCAGCAGATCATACACCAGCCCAACACAACCTTGCACAGCCTCCTCCATGTCACACACATACCTGTGCCGCTCTACCTGCGCTCGGCTGGTTTGATGAGTGTGTAAATCTTGTAAATCTTTCAGGTTTTATGTTTCATTTCACACAGCACGCAGGAATGAATCCCGCCCACTGCCAATGGATATCATATGTTGTATATTTAGGCATGTTTGAGCACGCCTATGGCCTGCAGAGTGCTGGTCCTGGGCTGAATTATATACTGTTATTGTTAAAACACTCGAGGGCCACATGTTAGTGTGCATTAAACCAGTGAACTGCGAAAACACACGACTGAAAAGGGTCCCAATTTGGCTTTACGGCATCGTTAAAAGACAAAATGCGGGTCTAATTTCAGAACCGTCAACCTTTAGTAACGTTACTGTCCAAACGAACACAAGTAATTTCAAAACCGCACGTTTTTCTACACGGTTTCGATGTTTGACCACACGAAAATGGAGTATTGGATGACTGAAACCGATACTTACTGAAAACTCCGGCCAGGGTGAAGATTTTCCGAAAGTACAGTGTGGTCAAAGAGCTTAAAATCACCAAGGGGCGACGCTCAATAGAAAGTTCCACAGCAACAGCCCCGCGACTCCGCCATTTTGAAGTGAAAGCGATCGGCCGTTTATTGGATCTTATGAACGACACATACAAAACAATGCCAGAGGTGTACATACAAATCAGTACAAGAGTTATATAAGAACATTATAAGAATTTTAAGTACGAAAACTCAATAGGTAAAACAAAATAAAGTAAAAAAAAAAAAAGAAAAAATACACAAATAATGTTAGGCCTTGCTTACTCACACTGCACTAAAAAGGCGGCTCTATTGACCCATTCTTTCCAATAGACACTTATAGCATAAGCGACATCTAACGTAAATATCTATATTTATTAGGTAATACCCAAACTTTTTTTCCAATCAATATTTTGAATAAACTGTGTTTATATATTGCAATTATATTCCACGTCCATTGGATCTTGGCATGCAGCTGGTTTGTATTTATTTATTTAAAAAGCACATGCTAATACCTGATAATAGACAACAATACAACATTTACAACCTGGTGATAATCAAATAACCATGTTTTCTTGAAACTTTTAGGTGAAATAACTTTAATAGTTATGATTTATAGCATACAAATAAATTATGACATGTAGTTGCCATAAATTATATGCCAATTACATGTAATAATGTCAAGTGTTCACACATATACAAAAGTTTTTTTTTTTTTGTTAGTTATTGCTTTATTAGAAAACATGAGCTAGGCGTATGACTGTTGCAAAAGTGAGGAGCTTTATTGGAGAAATATTTTATGTACATATAGCTTATATGTGGATGAGCAATACAGGAGACCTATATATTCTGTATATGCACATATATGAACCAAATTATTTGCCTATATGTGGCATTTATTCATTTTCTTTTCGGCTTAGTCCCCTTATTAACCAGGGGTCTCCACAGCGGAATGAACCGCCAACTTATCCAGCATATGTTATACACACTCATTCACTGAAACCCACACCAACTGGGGGAGAACATGCAAACTCCACACAGGCTCAAACCAGCGACTTTCTTGCTGTGAGGTGATCGTGCTGCTACCCACTGCGCCACCGTGCAGCCTTTGCATATTTGCAGCGTATACATTATCATATGTGCATATAGGTTTCATATATGCACATTTATCCTCATATACTGTTCCATGTGGGCCCATATATAAATATCCCACATTAGCATGACTTTCAAAACGGGATGTTGATAATAGACTGACAGTACAGCTTTTGTTGCTGTATTATAATAGTATTTTTTCCAGAGTAGTCTGTTAAAGAAAGACTAATAAAGCTTTTATGTAAAATATGTTAATACATTATAAATGCGTCTCCTGACCTGAATCCAAAGGGGCATGTTCATTCTTGGCGGGGATCTCTTTCAAGCTACCACTACAATATGTGACTTCAATAAATGGATATACAATCCTCAAACTAGTTTTTTTGACAATCAATCTGACAGTAAAAATATTTAATAAAATAAAATATTAATATAAGAATAAATGGTAATGAGTCGAGTACTGTTATATTTTTTTTAATGAGCTAATAATAACTATATCTTCCATTAAACACAGGTATAGGTGTCTTGTATTACTTTTAATACATTTTCTCAAAAGTCTTGAATGTTTGGTCATTACTGAGAATGTTAGCAGTTGCGATGTTAGCAGCTGGTTTGCCAATTCAGTTGCAAAGATTTTGAGCTCAACAGATGTGATAAAGATCAAACAAAACCTGCCTGGTAAGGGGAGATTATGTGGATTATGCACTGTCCCAAATGCATGATTGTGGTTGATAAGATGATCCAGAAATAAAAACTACACGCACACACACAAAAACAGTCAGACCAGGAATATGTTGTACATGATGACACACGTCACGCTTATAAAAAACATCTCTGGATCTCATCTTCCTGGTGGAAGACTTAGAGCAGAATAAAGGGGGTGAACATTTTTGACCAGGACAAATCTGTTTTCTTATTTTGTTGAAATATTCCCCCCATCTCTTTGCGAAGCAACAGAAGGTACTTGCATGTTTCTGGGAAGACAAATTACGTACAACTTTCCTTTATCTTCCAATTGCAAAAGTTTTCACCCCCGGCTCTTAAAGCATTGTTTCTCCTTCTGGAGCATAAGTGAGTGTTTGAACCCTTGTTTAAATAGTTGTGTTTGAGTCCATCAGTTGTCCTCATTGTGAAAAGAAGGATCTCACCATCATATGGTCAGTGAAAGGATTCAGATCCGGAGAAGATGCAGGAAATTGAAGAATCTGCAGGATTTTTCTGAAGATTAACTGTTCAGAAGAAACAAGAAACTCAAAAAGAAAAAAACATCAATAAGTAAAAAACAAACAAGCAACAGCCGTGGATAAAAGTATTCAAAAGCAAAAGGGTTCACAAACTTTTGCACAGAGTTATTCTATTAATTTCAGCCATTTTGGTTGTTTCGTGAACTACACTGCCTGACAAAAGTCTGGTCGTCGATCCCAGTTGTAGGAGCAACAAATAATAACTTGACTTCTAGTTGAAGATTTGGTTCCTGAAAGCAAAAAAGGTCAAGGTGCTCAAGGATTGGCCAGTCCAGTCCCCAGACATGAACATTATTGAGCTTTCTTTGCCATTTCAGATGACTTTATTAAAGCATGATTTGAGTCATTGCAGAGATGTATGCATGCAGTCCTCCAAGCTCATGATGGAGTCCGACACGATCTCCACTGCAGCAGGACTTTATATTCTATACTGGACATTATTCCTGTTCAGTGATGAGACTTGTTTAAACGAAGTTAGACCTTACTGTCCTAATGAAATCATTCATAATCAAGGCATGATCATATTTTATTAAGGTACAATAATAGTCATCTAGAGGCCTTTACTTTTCATATAAGACACTTCTTATACTAAATGATCAACTAGAAATCAACTTATTATTTTGCTTCTAAATCTTAGATAGACAACAAGACTTTTGTCAGCCAGTGTATAATGTAAATATCTTTTATGCAGAATACTTTACTCAGGACTGTACTAAATTTTAAAAAACAGCATGCGTTTTGTATGATCTCTCTTATTTTGCTCAAATTATTCACATTTTCTGTGAGGGGCAAACAAACTTTTACACGCCGTTCACTCAGTCAGCAGCTGCAGGTTCAGCAATTCAGTGTTAAAAGATTCCCTTCAACTTTTGATGGGCTTTTAAAGAGAAATGTCTGATCGAGATCAAATCAAACTAGCTTGATGAAGGGAGGATACGCACTTTACGGAACACTAACAAAGGGTAACTAGTTTTTCCGTGAAAGGAAAATGAGAAACACAGATAAGAGATAGCTGGAAAGTCAAGAGAATGTAGGGCAAAGTAGAAGAATCAACTAAAAACGGCATGCAAAGGACACTTGAAGTCCCTGTGAAATGGAAATTAAGTTATTCAGGTGTTAGTTTAAGCATGTTGAGCGCCAAAACATTGACAAAATTCACATATATAAAGATATAAACATGTAAAGCTTAGGTTAGTTTATCGATTCCGCCTCGAATATGGATTGACGTCACCTCATACTTTAGTTTCTCATCAAATCTTCTGACCAATCAAATGCTCTCAAGTGTCTGACATGCCCCGCCCCATTTTTCTCATTTGATGCACTCTTACTGACTGAGCTGTGATAAAAATAAAACCCTATTGGCTGTTTTTTTAAAGAGGGAGGAGCTACACTATTTCCCACCTGCTCCTTGTGTTTCAAGCATAGAAGAGCAACTGGCCCAGCCGGGACTCAAACCGAAACCTTCTAGCTGTGAGGCCACAGTGCTAACCACTGAGCCACAGTGCCACCCCACTGACATCCATAGTAGAAGAAAAAATTACCATGCAAGTCAATGACCAGCATTTGTCAGTATATCTTCCATTATATCTTGACGAAAGCAACACAGAAGATATATAAACGATGGCAGAATTTTCATTTTTCCAAGAACGAACCCTTTAAAATTATGAAAATTAACCAAGCGACAAGCTAATGTGACAAATAATACATTTATTGTGGTTCGTTGGTCCAAAGGAGAACATGAAGATCCATCTACAGCAGATTGAGCGGTGCATACTGACAGAATCGTCCCACACTGGTCCACAGATACAGGAATACAGTCGAAATCTCACACAAACACACACGAAACCATCATGCCTTATAGATGACGACAGACATAAAGTGCTCATCCTCCTGCTCTCGGCTCCCCGTCTGAACTATGCCAAGCGTTAATACAGAACTCTCTAACCTCATTGGATGAGGGGGTCAGCGGAGGTTGGGTTGCGGAAATATCTAAAAGCGGTTCTTCTTGAAGAATCCAATGAGTCCATTGGTGGAGGAGTCGTGGGAATGAACCTCCGCATCGTCCTGCAGCTCGGGTTCGATCTTCTTGGCCAGTTGCTTGCCGAGTTCGACGCTGATGGGACAGATGACATCATACTCTCTTATTAAAATTACAGCTCACCCACAAAAAGTAAAACTCTCAAACTTTTCTCATAATTTAACAGTAACACTTTATGAGCACACTTTTAGTATGAATTAGCATGTTATTAGCATGTCTCTACAATGAATTACCATGTTGTTACCATGTTTCTTGTACGAATTAGCATGATAACATGTTTCTTGTATGAAATAGCATGTTGCTAGAATAAATAAGCATGTTGTTAGCATGTTTTTAGTACAAATTAGCATGTTTCTTGTATGACATAGCATGTCGTTGCCATGTTTCTAAAATGAATTAGCATGCTGTTAGCACGTTTCTAATATAAATTAGCATGTTCGCACATTTCTTGTATGAATTAACATGTTGCTAGCATGTTTCTAGAATGAATTAGTATACTAGCAGGTTTCTTGTATGAAATAGCATGTCGTTAACATGTTTCTAGAATAAATTAGCATGTTAACAGGTTTCTTTTGTGAATTAACATGTTTCTGTATGTTTTTGTATAAATAGTACATTATTAGCATGTTTCTAGAATGAATCAGCATTTTAGCATGTTTCTTGTATGAAATAGCATGTTGTTAGCATGTTTCTAGAACGAATTAGCATGTTATTAGCACGCTTCTAGTACAAACTAGCATGTTAGAATGTTTCTTGAATGAATTAACATGTTGTTAGCATGTTTCTAGAATGAATTAGTGTATTAGCATGTTTCTTGTATGAAATGTTTTTTCCATGTTTCTAGAATGACAGCATGATGTTATCACATGTCTAAAATGGGTTATGTTGCTAGCATGTTTTTTTTATGAAAGAGTGATGCTAACGTTACTACAATGTTAACATGCTTCTTGTATGAAATAGCATGTTGTTAGCACGTTGCTAATAGGTTTCTAGTATGAATTAGCATTTTAACATGTTTTTATATGAAATAACATGTTGTTAGCATGTTTGTATATGAAATAGCATGTTACTGGAACTGTTTCAAGAATTAATTAGCATATTAGCATGTTTCTTGTATTAATATAATGTTTTAACCATGTTTCTAGAATGACAGCATTATGTAATCACGTTTCTAGAATGAATTACGTTGCTAACATGTTTCTAGAATGAATCTCCACCCGTCGCAGAATAAGTACGGAAATTAAAATATTCAAATTAACATTTCTATACCTTATTATTCAGGTATATATTAAGAGTTACTTTGTAGGTTTTTCAATGCTTTATTAACTCAACTTCATCCTTTTGTGACCTCGTTATTCAGAAGGGCTAATAATTCTGACTTCAACTGTAGTTGAATATAAATTTGTGGAAGTAAATCAATCCAAGATTAATCAATTCATTGGAATTCTTATTAAACAAACTAGACCCAAACAAGGACTGAATGCTCCGAGTTGGACTCACCCCCACTGATCATAGCTGTTGATATTCCACATCACACCCTGCACGAAGATCTTGTGCTCATACATCGCTGAAACACAAAATACAGTCCATCAGTAGGGATTCACCTGAATAGCAACGCTGGACAGAAATCAAAACTCGTAAAGCATTTTGGTTTTGGATTTTTAGCCAAATGCTTCCATTTCAATTATTTATTATTCCGTTGAGCAAATTAGAGTCATTTTGTAAGAATTTTAACTAGAGCTGAAACTATAGTGATAAACAACAACAACAACAGCACACAAGCGAATAACCAGCTTTTATTGACTTTGAGTCTAGAGGCCTCATTGTTGCCATGACAACACATTAGCTCTATTGCAAGCAGCAGGAACAAGTATACTAAATAGGAAAATCTTGTTGGCACATTATTTCTGCTTAACAGGTGCTAGGGCTGCACGATACATCGTTTCAGCATCGAAATCGCGATGTGCGCATCCGCGATAGTCAAATCATAGGAGGTGCGATGCAAAAAAAAATAAATAAATAAATAAAAAAAAAAAAATATATATATATATATATATATATATATATATATATATATATATATATATATATATATATATATATATATATATATATATATATATACATACATACATACATACATACATACATACATACATACATACATACATACATACATACATACATACATACAGTATGGGTGGAGCCGAACCCGAATACGGTATTATCTATACGATATATATTATCTATTATAATACGGTAAGCACGAATAGCGTGTTTTTACCAATACTTATTTCAAACCAATACTTGAAAAATTATTTGTATTCGGGAATAAGAAAAACATTATAACAAAAAGCTGCATTTCCTCATGAGACCACAGTGCATGCCCGCGTGAGTGAGTGAGTGAGTGAGTGAGTGAGTGAGTGAGACAGGCGTTCAGGAGTTGGGGGAAGGGGTGGGGCCGGGGTAAAAGGTGACTGACGCAGGCTGCTGCTCCACACAGCAACAGAGAAGGCTTGGCAGAGCGAAAAATACTTTACTGCATTACTATTTTTGCTAAATAAATTTTTGTATCTGAACTGGGTTCCAGAGGCAGTTTATAAACTTATAGCGTACTTAAAGCGGAGTTTGATCAGTATATCATTCTGCATTATTGACATCTGCAATCTGTTGCTCTCCGTTTACATAAGTTAGCTCTGTTAGCGCGGTAATTAAGACAATAGACTGTTGACAGAGTAACGTTAACGTTCGGTTAAAAAGGTTAAAACCATGCTTGTGTAGTTGTGTCGAATTGTATGCACTTATAGGAGTTTTATGGTACGTTTAAATTACTGTCATTTGCAGACAGCAAGATATATGCTAAGCTAGTTAACCTTAGCATAGCTTCCCGTCACTCATAGATTTATACATCTATGCCCGTCACTTATTAACTTTTAGGCACCCAAATAGATGAGTGAGGCTGCTGCTAAGTCATTCTTGGTTCTCCACCAGCCAAAAAAAAAAAACTTGCTCTAGTTCTTTGTGGAAGAATTTTACAGTCAGTGGTGCAGCAAATAAAACAGTGATACTGTATATAATGTTTGCAAAATTATATCTTAAGTATATATATATATATATATATATATATATATATATATATATATATATATATATATATATATATAAAAATATCGCAAAATATATATCGCAGGGAAAAAAAAAAATATTGCAATGTTAATATTTTCCAATATCGTGCAGCCCTAGCAGGTGCTGTTCATGCGTAGATAAATATATGTGTAGGTCAAGGGTGTCCAAACTCAGTCCTGGAGGGTCGGTGTCCTGCAGATTTTAGCTCCGACTTGCCTCAACACACCTGCAAGGATGTTTCTAGAAAGCTTAGGAAGAGCTTGATTAGCTAGCCTAGCTGTGACTGATTAAGGTTGGAACTAAACTTTGCAGGACACCAGCCCTAAAGGAGTCTGGACATCGCTGGTGTAGGTGAATGTAATATCCACAGAGCACAACACTGACCTATTTTAAACTTTGACTGCAGCACTTGCAAGCTAGTCAACGGTTTTGAGCCATATTTATCAGCATTTTTGGCAGAAAGTGATTATTTTGGTGGCCAAACAAATCAGTGCATCTCTTTACACAAGAAAGAGAACTACAAAATTAATGCACATTTACAAAAGGACACTGGTATAACTTGTTTGATACTTACCAACCAGTGCACCAAGCATGAAGGGTGTAAGTTTCTTAAAGATGATGGAGTTGCTTGGCTTGTTTCCTTGGAAAACCTACAAAAATAACAATAAATGCATCAGTTTATAAAAAGCAAGTAAACAATTTCACAATGCATTTCATAGTAGGGTTGTCACGATAGTGGAAGTTGGTACCAATCGATGCTAGTTTTTCAAAAACGTCAATTTCGTGCAAACATTTGAGCACGTTCTTAAACAGCGTTGATTAGCCGTTGTGTTCACATGCTCAACAGAATGGACTGTGATTGGCCGTGAAGGTCATCAGTTCACCAAACTCACCGCTGCTTACTGATTGAAACCACAGATACAGGGACACTGGATCGTTTTAAAGCGGTAACTCATCAGCGGATCTCTCGTATGTCAGCTTATAGACAAACCAGCTGATCTATGCAACTTTAAAATGCTCCAGTATCCCTTTATCTGTGGTTACATTCACCTTTACGGTAGGGCTGTGCAATTAATCGAAAATCCGATTTTGGCTTCAAACGATTATGAAAAAGCATTAATCGAGATAAACGATTATTGCATCATAAACCGCCCCCTTTTCAGCTGTACACATCTGTTGCTCCTAAAAGCACGAAAGTCTTGTGAGTGCGGCACGTGCACAAAGCCAGAAGCATGCGGCCAGTCAGCATTCGGTCTCATTCGCTCACTGCAGCTGGAATTATACTCGCGCCTGGCGCTGCATCGCGCACCTCCGCTTTTATTCTATTGTACTTATTTCTCTTTCCTTTGCAGGGAGGAAAATAACTGTATATATACACTGAAGTCAGAATTATTAGCCCTCCTGAATATTAGCAGCCCTTTTCCTGCCCAATTTCTGTTTAATGGAAAGACGTTTTTTTTTTTTACTTATTTCTATAACATAATAGTGTTGATATCTCATTTCTAATAGCTGATTTCTTTTATCTTTGCTATGATGACAGTACATAACATTTTTCAAGATATTTTTCTAAATACAAGCATTCAGATTAAAATGCAATTCAAAGGCTTAATAAGGGTAATTAGTTTCTTCTGCAGACAATCAAAAATATATTGCTTAAGGGGGCTAATAATATTGACCTTAAAATGGGTTTCAAAACATTTAGACCTGCTTCTACTCTAGCTAAAATAAAGAAAAAAAAAATAGGAAATACTGTTAAAATTCCTTGCTCTGTTAAACATCATTTGGGAAATATTGATTACAAAAAAAAAACAAATTCTCAGGAGCGCTAGTAATTTTGACTTCAACAGTAATCGTTTTAAATAATCATGATTACAATTATGACCAAAATAATCGTGATTATAATTTTCCCAAAATCGAGCAGCCCTACTTTACGGCCAATCACAGTCATTTCTGTTGAGCATGTAAACACAATGGCAAATCAGCGCTGTTTAGGAGCTGATGGGAAAGGGAAACTTCCTGTGAGCAGAGATGGGTTGAAACTGAACACAGAGTATTTGCAGATGAGAAGTCGTATGCTTTTAATGTTGTGTGGAGAATTCGTAGAAAAGGAGGACGCATGTATGGGTGCGGAGGACTGGAGAATGACTGACAAGTGATGAATTCCACTAAACGGTAAACCGAGTACAAACGCTGGAGTCAGGGAATGAAAATTGACACGAAACCTCCTGAATTTAACTGTTGCATTGCATTTCGGAAATATATATGCATATTCATTTGTATCCAATCAATTACTAATATTTTTGACATTGAAGAAAAACCCTTTCCTGACCTTTTTTTAATCGAACATGGATGGAATTGGTTGAATATTCCAATGGAAATAACTCAACAGCGCTTAAATGTTAGCGGGAAATGGACGCTTTTACCATTTCAGTATCGTTTGATATCGAATTCCAGTATCGCGACACACTAATTCATAGAAATGTCCAGGCTTGTCCACTAACCACCAGGCCATCGGCACTTAAAAATCTCCTTTCCAAAGACATGTCAAATAAAGAGCAACTCACTTTATGAGGCAGGAGTTTCTCCAGCGAGTCTCCAGACAACCCAGAAGCCTGGAGCTCCTTCTTAGCCTCATCAGAAGTCTTTCCCCTCATCAGAGCCTCTGTTTGCGCCAGGAAATTCGCCATCAGGATCTGCGGGATTCATAAAGTAAAAGGAGCATAACATATCTCAACAACGGCTTCAAATATTAGCAGGATTTCCACTTTAAAGGGGAGCTCCTATGCACAAATCACTTTTATAAGGGGTTTATATGGAGCTGTGTGGCAACAGTGTGTGAATATAATCATAAAGTTATAATAAACTGTATGAATTGTATTATTTATAATCAGACTTGATAGAAACAGTCTGCAGAAACACTTTGATTGACATTCTCCCTTTGTATGATGTCATCAGAGGGTGAAGCTCCGCCCACTAGTGAACAGTTCTCCCTCATTAGCATATGACGCTAGTCTTGTTTTTGAATCTGCAACTATGCTGACACACAGGCCTTTATAGCCCCGCCCCCTTTTGAAAAAGAGCACAATCTCATTTGCATTTAAAGCGACAGTCACCAAAACACCACAATTTAGGATCAAAGCCTAAAAGGGTCAGTTTCAGAGAGTTACTAAACATTATCTGTGTGGTATTTTGAGCTGAAACTTCTCACACTCACATTAAACAAGCAGCACTAAACCAAAAATACATTACAGAAAAAAAGTCCCTGAAATTCTATTCGGACATAAAAACAAACAAACCCTTTCAGAATGTTTCTGAATCTTTCAGAACGTGGGGAAACCCTGTATCATGAGTAAACATCTGAGACATCCAGACAGCACAGACTCTACCTTATGATGCAGGTTATCTCTGATAGGATGCTGGCTCTGCGCAGGAATGAGGAAGTCAGCTGGAATCAAGCGAGTGCCTGCAGAGAAACAGATCCTCATCAATCAATCACTTAATTAGTTTTAATGCCACATCAGCAGCAGTAGCTATATTCATGCCAACATTAATGATACATTTTCAATACAGAATTTAGAAACGTAACAGTATCTTGATAAACAAACATCATACAAATGCATGTAAACGACTAGACTGATAAAAAAGTTCATGTAATAGATTTAATTTTAGGATATTTATCACTTAATAAAATGTACACAAGGAGCCACCTTTTTATTAAACAAATCCCCTCAAATATTTTCTGCATTAAAAACCTGTCTAATACAACTTTAAATATACATTCTAGTAAAAAAAAAAATGTATAAAAATAAATAAATAACTAAATAAATAAATAACTAAATAAATAAATAACTAAATATATATATATATATATATATATATATATATATATATATATATATATATATATATATATATATATATATATATATATATATATATATATATATATAAATAAATAATATTTATAAATATATAAATATAAATATATATAAATAAATAAATAATATTTATAAATATATAAATACATAAATATATAAATATATGTAAATATAAATATATATAAATAAATAAAATAAATAAATATACATATATATATATATATATATATATATATATATATATATATATATATATATATATATATATATATATATATATATATAATATTTATAAATATATAAATACATAAATATATAAATATATATATATATATAAATAAATATAAATATATAAATAAATAAATCAATATAAATATATAAATAAATAAATTATATATATATATATATATATATATATATATATATATATATATATATATATATATATATATATATATATATATATATATATATATATATATACACATACATACATACATACATACATACATACATACATATATATATCATATATAGGGATCACAGACCCTGGTGAATGAGCTGGTAGAAAGCGTGCTGTCCATTAGTTCCTGGTTCTCCCCAAACGATGGGTCCCGTGTGGTAATTCACACGAGTGCCAGACTTGGTGATGTACTTCCCGTTGGACTCCATGTCCCCCTGAAAGGTCATAAAATGAACTCAGCAAAGTGTTTTATTGTCAGAAACATGACCAAAAGTACAGATTTCAGGAGTGAAAATTGTTTAAAATGTGATGATCCCATAATATCCTTCTAACATAGGAGTGCTGCTGAGTGGGTTCTTGAACACCTCTGATTGGTCATTGTGTTTATGCAGCCGACTGGAATGTCTGTGATAGGCTGCAATGACCATCAATTGACCGAGTGCTTGGTACATGAACAGTGAAGCGATTGAAAGGCTGCAGTTTTTTAAACTGCAGATGGCGCTCTAGGCTAGATTGACAGCACTCTAGGCTAGTTTTTAAACTGCAGATGGCACTCTAGGCTAGATTGACAGCACTCTATGCTAGTTTTTAAACAGCAGATGGCACTCTAGGCTAGTTTGACAGCACTCTAGGCTAGATTTTTAACTACAGATGGCACTCTAGGCTAGTTTGACAGCACTCTAGGCTAGTTTTTAAACTGCAGATGGCACTCTAGGCTAGTTTTTAAACTGCAGATGGTGCTCTAGACTAGTTTTTAAACTGCAGATGGCGCTCTAGGCTAGATTGACAGCACTCTAGGCTAGTTTTTAAACTGCAGATGGCACTCTAGGCTAGATTGACAGCACTCTAGGCTAGTTTTTAAACTGCAGATGGCACTCTAGGCTAGATTGACAGCACTCTAGGCTAGTTTTTAAACTGCAGATGGCACTCTAGGCTAGATTGACAGCACTCTATGCTAGTTTTTAAACAGCAGATGGCACTCTAGGCTAGTTTGACAGCACTCTAGGCTAGATTTTTAACTACAGATGGCACTCTAGGCTAGTTTGACAGCACTCTAGGCTAGTTTTTAAACTGCAGATGGCACTCTAGGCTAGTTTTTAAACTGCAGATGGCGCTCTAGGCTAGATTGACAGCACTCTAGGCTAGTTTTTAAACTGCAGATGGCACTCTAGGCTAGATTGACAGCACTCTAGGCTAGTTTTTAAACTGCAGATGGTGCTCTAGGCTAGTTTGACAGCACTCTAGGCTAGATTTTTAACTACAGATGGCACTCTAGGCTAGTTTGACAGCACTCTAGGCTAGTTTTTAAACTGCAGATGCTGCTCTAGGCAAGATTTTTAACTGCAGATGGGACTCTAGGCTATTTTTTAAACAGCAGATGGCACTCTAGGCTAGTTTTTAAACTGCAGATGGCGCTCTAGGCTAGATTGACAGCACTCTAGGCTAGTTTTTAAACTGCAGTTGGCACTCTAGGCTAGTTTGACAGCACTCTAGGCTAGATTTTTAACTACAGATGGCACTCTAGGCTATTTTTAAAACAGCAGATTGCACTATAGGCTAGTTTTTAAACTGCAGATGGTGCTCTAGACTAGATTTTAAACTGCAGATGGCGCTCTAGGCTAGTTTGACAGCACTCTAGGCTAGTTTTTAAACTGCAGATGGCGCTCTAGGCTAGTTTGACAGCATTCTAGGCTAGACTTTTAACTACAGATGGCACTCTAGGCTAGTTTGACAGCACTCTAGGCTAGTTTTTAAACTGCAGATGCTGCTCTAGGCAAGATTTTTAACTGCAGATTGGACTCTAGGGTATTTTTAAAACAGCAGATGGCACTCTAGGCTAGTCTTTAAACTGCAGATGGCGTTCTAGGCTAGATTTTTAACTACAGATGGCACTCTAGGCTAGTTTGACAGCACTCTAGGCTAGTTTTTAAACTGCAGATGGGACTCTAGGCTATTTTTTTAACAGCAGATGGCGCTCTAGGCTAGTTTTTATACTGCAGATGGCACTCTAGGCTAGTCTTTAAACTGCTGATGGTGCTCTAGGCTAGATTTTTAACTAGCAGACGGAGCTCTAGGGTAGTTGTTTAACAGCAGATGGCGCTCTAGGCTAGTTTTCAAATGTACACTCAAATGCTCACGAGAAAAGCACTTGTGCATTCTACTGAGTCACGTAAATTAGTTAATATGTCATAAGCTTAATGTAAACAGCTCACTCTGAACACTAATAATAATAATATAAATAAAAATAATAATAATAGAACTATTGTAGTTCAGAATTAATCGCTCAGAGTACCGTGTGTATATCTCCTTATCCTGTGATTCCCACAATCTTGGATCCAGCCTGTATCTAGAGCAGATGGCGATCATTAGTTGATGTAACCTTCTGTTCTGTGGCTGAAAAGCTTCATATCCTCATGACTAGTTATCATGGTAATTAATGAATCAAAACACAAGACTGATTCTAGAAAGGACGCCAGTTACAGACGAATCCCTTCATAGATGGCTTCAGCTCATCAGGCGTTCAAGAACACCCTTAACAGAGCTCCTACTATATGTTATATTTATATAAAAGCTGGTATTGTCACATTTTTATAACATTTATTGGTAGCTGAAGCCTGTACTTTTTCATAGCTAAAGTGTCATCAGACTGACCTGTTGGAAATACGCAGCGAAGCGATGCATGTACTGATCGTAGGGCAGCAGTGCATGCGTTTCAGCCTGGAAGAAGTTGACATACCAGACGCCGAGCAGAGCCAGAATGACCGGAGCGTTCTGCTCCAGAGGGGCCGAGCGGAAGTGATTATCCTGAGAAAAAGAGCCATAAACATTACTCACAGGTGTTAGTTTGTGTTTAAAGCCATGGCAGCTTCTATGGCTATTTTAATTGTTTATAAAGTTTTTACTATTTATTGTTTGCTAAAAACTAGTGCTGGGCAAGGATTAATAAACTTGCTTATGTGCAATAAAAACACTGATGATCTCAGCCACAACAAGCCAAGTGTTGTTTTAGTTATTCTAAAATGCCGAAACCAAATAATCTGATTAATAAAATGCAGTTTTTTACTGAAAATAGTTTACATGACATTACAAAATTCAGTTTATAAGCTTGTATGCAATGTGCAATGTAAATGAACGCTTGTACTGTAGTATACTAAATTATGCTTACCATCCAGTGAGCACCAGACAGAAGCTGCTCGAAATTGTCAAAACCTGCAAGACGTCAATAAATGAAGTGACTGGATTATTTACAGCATGCAAAAACATTAGTCTATTAGTGCAAGATGCAGAAGTACACTGCACGAAATGCTTTTCTTACTTGGAGTTTTTGTCTCGTTTCTAGTCGAATATCTAAAAATTCTTAAGTCAAGAAGCATTTTCTAGCATTGTCTTGTTTTCAGAAATTAATGTCAAAATTTATTAAGTTTTTCCTTTAAAAAAAAAAAAAGCTAAAATAATCAGCATAAAAATAATCATAATTCAAAGTGAATACAAGATTATTTTGCTTACCCCGTTGGCAGATTATCCATTTATAGGATTAATTTTTAAGCAAAAACATACTTAATTTTGATGTATTATTTCTGAAAACAAGACACTATCCTTTGGTCGTCTAAAAAATGCTTCTCGATTTAAGAATTTGTAGATATTTGGACCAGAAACAAGACATAAACTGAGTAAAGCATTTATTTTTGCAGTCTATGGGTCAAGTTAGGTCAGAAACACACAGTAAACAAATACATAAATATAGATTTTGGCTGCATATATATACTGTAAACACATACAGTCAATACCAAATTAATTTGTTGAGTACAAACTAATGAAATAAAGAAAATAAATTAAATTAATATGTAAATAAATACAAATAGATAAATGTAAATAAAATGAACAAATATAAAAATACACAAATACAAATACATAAATAAAAAGAACTAAAAAATTTTAATAAATACAAATATATAAATAAAAATATAAGCGAAATAAACTAAATAAATACAGATATATAAATAAAAATAAGTAAATAAAAAATACAGATATATAAATAAAATAAAAATAAAAAATAAATTTATAAATAAATAAATAAAAATACAAATAAGTCAATAAAATAAATAAATATAAAAAAATGCAAATATATAAATAAAAAATACAAATAAATAAATAAATGAATATATATATATATAAATGTAAACAAATAAAAGCAAATAAAAATATAAATAATTGCAAATATAAATAAAAAATACAAATAAATAGAATAAATACAAATAAATAGATAAAAGTAAATAAATATATAAATACAAATAAATAAAAGCAAATAAAATAAACATATAAATAAATGAATATATAAATAAAAAATAGAAATTGATAAAAGTAAATAAAATAAATACAAATAAATAGATAAGTAAATATTTAAATACAAATAAATAAAAGCAAATAAAATAAAATACAAACAAACAAATATAAAATACAAATAAAAAGTTAATAAAATAAAAGCAAATATAATTTAAATTCAAAACGTATTCATACCCCTTGCAAATTCGGACTTACATTTTTGTTCAAATGTAAATTAAAGCTAAAACATATATATTTTTTCCCACAATAATCCCTCTTGAACATCATATTATTATCTTTTGGAAGAAGTCGGAGTCATTTCCGGTCAAAAATAAATAATAGCAACAACAACAACAGAAACTGCTGGTTAAATAAAATAACTCTCAAGTCAGAGTTTGCCAAAGATTTGAATAATTTCAGACTTAGCTGCATGTCAATTGTCACTCCTGAAAAACATTACAGCATATTTGGGGACTTTTCCCCACAGCAGACGTACCGATGTGCAGAGCGATGGACAAGCCGATAGCAGACCACAGAGAATAGCGGCCGCCGACCCACTGAAACATCAGCATCAAATCAACACTAACTTAGAAGTGGATTCAGCAATATGGCAGAGCAGTCAATATTTCAGGCAATCATGCATTCAGTCTGTCCTGGAAATTGCTCTGTAGCACATACTCACATCCCAAAACTCAAACATGTTGTTGGTGTCGATGCCGAACTCCTTCACTTTTGGCTGATAATGGGAGACAGAAATAAATACACGTTGATTAAACTGTACTTAAAAGAGAATACATGAAGTTATGCTGCTGTACTCACCGCGTTTGTGGAAAGAGCCACGAAATGTTTGGCCACAGCAGATTTCTGAAATACAAATATAAATTATTAGTGTCCGTATATTAACAGATTATAATGTGCTGACGATAATAAGAGTTCTGACATCTCATACTTTAAATGATTAAGCTCTTTACAGGAGGATTGACTTTGGTATTAATGTTATACAGTTTAAGACAAAATGATTAGCTCTCTTGTAAAATGATAATAGTTTTTTAAATATCTATATAAAAGTGCTGTTTAACAGAGCAAGGACATTTTTCACAGGATTTTCCACTATATTTTTCTTCTGGAGAAAGTAATTTCTTTTTGTTTGGCTGAAATAAATAAATAAACTAAATAAATTAATTAAATAATAACAAAACTATAAAAACTAAATAAATAAATAAATGATTTAATGAAATAAATAAACAAAATTTTTTAGAAATAAACAAACATTCATAAATAAAATAAATAAAAAAACTAAAAATTTAAATAAATAATTAAACTAATTAATTAAAAATAAAACAAATAAATAAAATACTAAACAACAAATTAATCAATTAATTACTAAAAATCAAAAAATAAATTAATTAATAAACAAATATATATACATAAAATCAAACATTTAAAAAATAAATAGAAATAAACATTAATATAAAAACAAATACACATAACACAAAATTAATTAAATAAAACTAGAACTAAATAAATAACTGAATAATTAAATAAATGAAAACTAAACAAATAATAATTAATTAATACAAAAACTAAAAAAATAGAAATAAAATAAATACAATAAAAATTATTAAAAATAAAATTAATAAAAATAAACATTAAAAAATTTATAAAAACAAATAGCAAAAAAAAAAAAAAAAAAAAACGTCCATATATTTTACCCAAATTTGAGCTGAAACATCTCAGCAGTTTGACCAGAAAAAACTCCTTGTAAAAGAAATTGGCTTATAAAATGCAATAATTTATGTAGGTCTCACGTCTTTAGCGGCCTGCAGAAACCATTCTCTGGCCGTCTCTGCGTTAGTGATGGTCTCCTGGGTGGTGAATGTCTGCAGGGAATAGGTGATGAATTAACACAAACACTAAAACAAGGTTTTGTTTATTTTTATTTATGAATGAAGAGGCAAATTATATATGAGCAGATCCCTCTGTAAAATGATCAACATAATCATCACCATATAATCACCAGTTGATGGATTAAATAAGGAATTTCTAGCTTTTATACAGCATTTAGTGGCATCATAACAGCCTGGCTGAGAGGTGACAGAAACACATAATTAACTAAATAAATTAGTCCAAGAAACAAAATTCTTACAGGAAGTTAAAGAGATAATTATTCAAGTGGTGCATTATTTTTATTTTGAATATATTTTGGAAGTTTGTAAAATTTCTAGCACACAACGAAGTAACAATTAACAAATTGACGCAGTCAGTTTTTGCTCTGCTTTTACAGTAATTTCAGCACATTCTCTGGTCTATTTCTCTACCTTGGAGGCGATGATGAAGAGTGTGGTCTCGGCGTTGAGCTGCGCGAGGGTTTTGGCCATGTGTGTGCCGTCAATATTAGAGACGAACCAGACATTGGGTCCTCCTTTAGAGTACGGCTTCAGCGCTTCAGTCACCATCAGAGGACCCTGAAGAACAGCACAAACAGCTTTCACACACTCTCTCTTCGGTCTTTACACACGTTTAAAGTCTTTTATTACAGTATCTTAATGTACTTTTAATTGAAACTGAATGTTAAGTAGGAGGTGGGGCTTTATTTTTGCACATCTTACCCTTATAGCAAACTAACGGTAAAGGGGTTGTTCAACTAATGCTTAAATTGGGAAAGTTTATACACACAAAATGAAGCAGTCAAGTGGTAAATGAATTTTGCTTTCAGTATTGCGATATGATATATCTAAATGTAAATCAAAAGAAGCTCTAATATTATGTGTAAACTAAAAACTGACAAGTAAACTGCAGGGCTGTTAAGTGCCCCATTCTGATTGGCTGACGAACATTAAGGCATGCAACTATTGTCAGATAAGCACACCGCAAGTAGTTCCGGCAGGTTTGGTTGTGTCTAGAAGGAACTGGAAGATTTTTATTCTTTAACTTATTAAATTACCCAGTAAACTGTATTCCATTAATGTCTACACCTACACGAAACTAATCCCTTTCAACATTCATTTCGACAGCCGGACATCTCTGATCAGATTTCTTTACAATCAGTTCTGGGGTGCTTTAGGAAACTCACCAGGTCTGATCCTCCGATGCCGATGTTCACCACATCAGTGATGCTTTTCCCACTGAAGCCTTTCCAAGCGCCGCTGCGCACTTTCTGCACAATAACAGACACACAACATCTATGTTCAGGACTTTTCATAATTGGTTATAAAATAAACAAATCAAATATAAAACATAATCTGATAAATTAGTTAAATCATTGTTGTATTGCTCTAAAATGTTTATGGAGAAGCTTAAATAATAGCCAGGGGACAGTGTACATGATAGAGTTCCCTCAACAGCAATAAAAATGATCATACAAGATTTTTATTATGATTTACAGAAGAAACCAAAACCACCCAGGGGCGTTGTTAGACATAAAAGCTCTACTGGGGCACGCACAAAAGAATAAATAAAATAATAAAATAAATAAACAAATAATAAAATAAATAATTTAATAAATAAATAAAATAAATAATTAAATAAATAAATAAAATAAATAAATAAAATATTAAATAAATCAATCAAATAAATAAATCAAATAAAATAAATAAGTAAATAAAATGATAAAATAACTAAATAAATTAATTAATTAATTAAATAATAAATAAAATAAATAAACTAATAAAATAAATAAAATGATAAAATAAAGAATAAAATAAATAAATAAAATAAATTAAATAAATAAATAAATAAAATAATAAAATAAAATAAATAAATAAATAAAATAAATAAGTAAATAAAATGATAAAATAACTAAATAAATAAAATAAATAAACAAATAAAATTAACAAAATCAATAAATAAAATAAATAAATAAATAAATAAACAAAAAATATTTAAGATGCGTTATAGAATTATCTGTTGTCTTAGACTTCACACTTGGCAGAGAATCAGGTTTATTAAGTCTCACCTCCCTGACTCATCATCCTTCCTTTTTACTTCATACAAAATAATCAGGAAGCATGCTTAAGATCAGCCTCGGTCATATTAATTAAACTTTGGTTTTGTCGACTTCCAAAACTCACTGCATGCCATCACCTTAGCATAAAAGACAGATAGGCTGGATTCACAGCGCATGAGCGGCGCGTGAGCAGCAAGTACTTCTTTTAAACGTGCATGTTAACAACCGGGACTGGTTTGGTTGCTCAGAGAAAATAACATCTTTATTTCGAGATTACCACTCTTAAAAATGACACTTGCATATAAAGTAAATCTTCACGTGCCCCGGTAAATTGGGTTTGGCGATGCCCCTGCCACCACCAAAACATGAATAAATCATTCAGTTTAACAATAGTTTGTCCAGAAATCATCAATGGATTTAAAATAAAGAAAAATCACCGATTAGGTTTAACTGAAATTTATGTATGCATTATTATATATATTTTTATATATGATTGTCAAATATGCATAATAAAAAAAAATAACGTAAACATGGATACATTGTATCCACAGTACATTATAGCAATTACAACTTTTTTGTAATGAATACTGCATACAGTATATTAACTATAGTAAAACTAAAATTTCCCATATAGTCACAGAAAACTACATTATTAAATCAGTTGTTTATATTACTCTGGACCCTTTTCACAAGCCTGTTATGACGCATTTAACAGTCAACAGCATCTTAAATCCTTTAAAGTTTTTAACATTTTATTTATTTTTTGTATGCATGAACATTTATATATGTATTATTTAATCTTTGCTTCAAATGACAAAAAACGAATTCCCGCTTGTGCGAGGCGTTTCTAATGCAGCGTCTATGGGGCAGGACAGTAAATTTAGCATCATTCTCTCCTCTACCTGCCGTCATCAGTCTCACACTATCTTTTTCTTTTTTCTTAAAGTCTTGATAACACCATCGTGGAGTTTTTCTTTTATTATTCAAACAAATAAGATTGTAAAAGCAATGATTTGTTGTATTCTCCCATTCACTGCGCTCTGAGTTCACCAACTATGAGGGCTTCCGCTACTGAGAAACCCAGAAATGTGAAAAGGGTCTACGGTTGTGCTGCCATAGCAGCTATAAAACCGGATCGTTCGTTTACATTACTACAGTTGTGTTACCATAGCAACTACAGAAGTGGATTATTTGTTTATATTACTATAGTTGTGCTACCATAGCAACTATAGAACCCACATACAAAATTAATTTAAGTAGTTTACTGCACTTTGGTTCGAAACGCTGTAGATATTAATATAAATAACTACAGTGTTTTTTTTATATGGGACACAAAAGCTTCTTAAATAAAATGCTGCAGGGCTGCTTTACGTGCAATAAAACTGAACATTTCAGAATATGAGATCACTACAAACATGACATCCCCCAGACAAGAGAAGCTCTCTGTAAACAGCCGTGTTGTACAGTCATGTTCACCCACATGGCAGAAGCTCTTCATCTGCTCCAGGACTCGGTTCACCTCTGGCATCACGTCTTTTCCGTCCACTATGATGGGAGTGTTGGAGCGGTTCCTCAGGGCGGTGTGGAGGACGGCACGACCCTGACAAAGAATAAATAAATAAATAAAAACACACACACTCTTCACATCCACTGCCCAGAGAAATAACTAACACTGTCTATTGCTGCCACTTTCAATCATAGCCATTTCATGTCTTTCTGAGGTGTTCAGTGAACCTCATGTTGCCAGACTTTGTCATGTTAAGCAATAAAAAACAATTCAAGGACACAATGCTTAAAATAGCCGAGTTAAGAAAAGGTTGGGATTAACGATTCTGTATCCTGCATGAAAAACACAAGATTTGAACTTTATTTTGGTGAATTTTTCAGGACTTTATTTTGTTTAAATATCTGGCAACTCTAGCGATGTTTCCATCCACCTATTTTTATGAGTATTTTTGGAATATTAGATAAAAAAATATTTAAAGCAAAAGCCAAAATGTGCATAAATTATGAAAATGTGCATAAAAAACTGACGTAGAGAAGAAAAATGTCCTTGTTAAAGATCACTAGGGATACTTGAAAAAGAATGACAGCATTATTAAAGTAATAAAGCCAATTATACAGTAGGAAGATGAAGGTTGGGATTACCGATGTTGCATCCTGCATGATAAACTTATTTTGGTGCATTTTTTTCAGGAATTGTTTTAGCTAGTGTTGCCAGATATTCTTACAGAATCAAACTGTTTCAATCCACCTTTTGTTATGCATTGTTTGGAATATTGCATAAAAACTGCTTAATGCAAATGCCAAGATGTGCATAAATGCTGAAAATATGTTCATTAATACAGCTCGTGCACAACAGAGTAGGAAAAACTGTTTATCTCTTTAAAAAAAAAAAAATAATAATAATGATAATATTAACAATAATATATATATATATATATATATATATATATATATATATATATATATATATATATAAAAATATATATATATATATAAAAAAAAAAAAATATATATATATATATATATATATATATATATATATATATATATAAAATATATATATATATATATATATATATATATAAATAAAATAAAAAAAAAAATATATATAAAAAATATATATATATATATATATATATATATATATATATATATATATATATAAAAAAAAAATATATATATATATATATATATATATATATATATATATATATATAAATAAATATATATTCTCATTCTCCAGAAGAATATATCATTCTCCAGAAGAAAAATATAATATAATATAATATATAATCATTTTTTAAACATCACTTGAGATTTTTTTTAAAGAATGATGATGTTAAAGCCAATAATAAAGTAGGAAGCTGAAGGTAGAGAGTAGTGATTCTATATTCAGCATGACAAACACAAGGTTTTAATCTATTTTGGTGCATTTTTAGGGTTGATTAAGTTTGATTTTGTAAGAATATCTGGCAACACTTGCAATGTTCCCATCCACCTATTATTATGCATATGAGAATATTGCATTAAAAAAGCTTAATGGAAATGCAAAGATGTGCACACATTTTGGTAAAGTGCATTGAAAACATGTATTTGAGCACAACTAAGTAGGATAAATATTATTAAATATGAAAAAAGTGACAGAATAAAATATATAATGGGAAATACTGTGGTGTATATATTTGTTAAACAATTCTTGACATATATTTGAGATATATTTAAATAATTTTGTCTTCAACTGTGTGCGTCTATATATTAAACTACACAATTAAAATGCATTCGTATTCATTATTATTACACAATTACTAACAATCCGCAGACCTCAGTGATTGCTACAGCTTTGACCACCTCAGTGATGTAAAGAGGAAGCTGGGAGTTTCAACACAAGTTTCTGCTGTGTGTCAATGCGAAGTAGATGTTTGACTTCGATCACTACCTCAGTGAAGTTGATCTTCTCTCCTGCAAACATCTGTTCCCGGGCCGCCTCGACGCCCACTGATCTCGCCTGATCACGAACACAGAGAAATAATAAAGACGGTTAAAGTGACTCTTGAGCAAACACACACATGTAAAGAGCTATGACAACAGCAGGTGTGTGTTCAGTCCTGCTCTGATGACTGTGAATGTGAGGGCGTCTCAGACATTGGGCTTGTTCATAAACAGGGGCTTAAATTGTGACAGTATTTATTATCCTTGTGTTTATGTACTGCTGTCATCTGATTGGCCGGAGCACATGTTTGCGTTTCTCTCAATCATCGTCGTCAGGATGGATCGACAAGTTCACGATGCAGGATTATAGAGAGTTTACATGCAGCTGTCGTGACTTGAAGCTGCCAA